ATGTTAGTGATAAAATGCCAGTGGCGCGTTCGTAGTAAAAACGATCGGGTTATGTCTATTCTTTCGCCAGGTTGCAGCCACCAACTTCGTTTGCCAACCTCGTTTGCCAACTTCGTTTGCCAACCTCGTTTGCCAACTTCGTTTGCCAACTTCGTTTGCCAACTTACTTCTTGCCGCCGCCGCCGCCGGATGGGTTGAATTTGAAGAAGAGTACGTCTCCGTTTTCGACAAGATAATCTTTACCCTTGGTGGCAACTTTACCGGCAACTTTGCAGGCAGATTCGGAGCCGAGTTCCTTGAGGTCCTCGAATTTGGTAACTTCGGCGCAAATAAAGCCGTTCTCCATGTCGGAGTGAATGATTCCTGCTGCTTGGGGAGCCTTAGTGCCGGCGCGGATGGTCCAGCACTTGACTTCATCTTTACCGCAGGTGAAGTAGTGGATTAGGTTGAGTGTTTCATATCCGGTGTTAATAATTTTGTCAAGTTGGGAGCCTTTAGCTCCGCTATGTGTGATGTACTTGTTTCGTTCCTCTGGTGTTTCAAGTTCGGCAAGTTTCGCCTCAAAATTGGCTGAGTAGGGTACGATAGGTCCGGGTAGGTTATCCTTGACCCAGTTGTGTATTTTTAGTAAGTATTTGTTTTTCTGTCGAATAAAGTCGTGCTCAGATAGATTAACAAGATAAACAATTGGCTTAGCGGTCAGGAACTGGATATCATTTAAATATTCCACCTCCTTGTTACTCCAACTGCGACCTGAAGATATCCATTTACCGGATTCTAAATGGTCCAAAATTTCCTTCATCATCTCACATTCAGCCTTCTTCCCTTTATCCTGACCTCGAGCCGTCAATTTAACCAAATCTTCATAACGTTTGCGAGCACGCTCCATATCCTTGAAACTAACTCATTCGAGATTGTCTCCAAGTCACGTACTGGATCCACGTCACCCTGTGTATGAATCACATCCTCATCCTCAAACGCACGTACCACATGGTAAATACCATCCACTGCTTGGATATGCGAAAGAAAGGCATTACCTAAACCCTCTCCTTCAGCAGCGCCAGGAACAAGTCCAGCTATGTCGAAAATCGCCAAAGTAGCGGACTGCTCGCTTTTAGGCTTGTAGTACTCTGCTAACCAACTGAACCGCTCATCAGGCACACTCATACGAGCCTCATGCGGATCAATCGTACAAAATGGAAAGTTCTCTGCCGGCACCGCCTGCTTGCATAACAAATTAAAAGTAGTAGACTTCCCCACGTTAGGCAATCCAACCAAACCCATCTTCAAAGTCCCCTTTGGTCGACCCAACAAGATCCTCGACGCCTCGGCTTCCTTCTTCTTCGGTGGCATTCCAGGACTAAAAATACCCCACAGAAATTTAGACCCACCCAGCACCGGTCTCCTAACGTCAGTCTCGTCGGTATTCTATCGTCCCTGTTGGCACCCAGGTCTCCTAGGTCTCCTAGGTCTCCTTGTGTCGGTCTCGCCAGTCTGCTAACCACCATTCGTACTCGTCATCAGCACTCGTCACGGCTACTCGACAATACTACTCGACACTACTACCCGACCACCACTAGATTCAGCGGACCGATTCAGCGGACCGATTCACCGGTATCACTGCACTGGGCCCATTCCTCACTGCACTGGGTCCAGCTTGGGTGATAACAGACTAAGCGGCAAAAGCTTCACGTCCACCTGCTGCAGGGCGACACTTTTGAACGACACGTCCACGGGAATGTGGTCCATCGTCACCAGCGGAGTAAGCAGCTCGGAAGCTATCGCTTCGTTCATGACCGGCGGCTCGGTCGCCTGGAACATGGTATGAAGCACGCACTTGGCCTCGCAGAACCAGTCATACCTCGGAACCGAACCCTTGATGACCGGATTCACCAATTTGAACTGGAGCCTCGCACCTTGACTAAGGAACTTTAGCGGGTACTCTATACTGAGGGTCTACACACAAAGGCGTTGGGTGAGTAGTTTATGGACCGCCTTAACGGCGAGGAATTGCGGTTGATGGAACACTTCGGTAGGCGATATAGTGTGGCACACTTGTGTCCGATGGGCAATTGTATTGGACAGTCAAAGGCAGGCGCAACAGGTGCCTTGGCCCAAACCAAGCTTATGAGGACAGAAAAAGGGTGTCTAACCTTGTTTTCAGTTGACGAAATGAAGCAAGCATCGAAGTTGCTTGGACCCAGAAGCCTCGGGATAACGATCTTGTAGTACTGATTCAGATACCGGTCAGTGCTGTAAGTGCACATTGAATAATGTCTAAAGGCAAAGCTAAGGATGTCTGGAACAAGGGGTAGCTCAAAGCCTAAGGCTAAAGTTGTAGAGCACCAAAACCACGGGCTGAACATCCGAATAGATGTCAGCCTTCTCGACGAGTGTTTGCACACACGCGTTTCCTCAGGGACTACCTGTCGCGTTTACACTCACGTCGCTTGACCGACCAGTCGCTAGCGTGCACCGAATTGTGAATCGCTGTGTAAGTAAGTCCATAGGGTACTAATTGGTCAATGTTGAAAAGAATCATCCGGACTGCAGTGCAGAGGGTATTGTGACACTGGTGGGTGAATCAATGGTGGGCTAGCTAATTTTTGCACAGGCTAAATAAGGGTGTCTGTAGTGGAGGTCCTTAACACTCTTGTCAGACATTAAGGCAGGCAATAAGGTTTATTCGTGGACGTCAATGGTGCTGTGAATTATTTCTTCGCCTGTCGCTCTGGTTCTGTTTTTAAGCTCCTCCTCATCCACGAATAGAGGGCGGCCAAAGGGCAGTCCTGGAGCGCCCGAGGCCCTGAGGTAAAGACTGCAGCCCATGTAGTATGCGAGGAGGGCGGCAATGATGCACAAGTAGCCCGAGACTTTGTGGACGTTCTCCGCAGCATCACCGTCCAAGAAGCACGCCAGCGAATGCAGTGCAAAGATGATGCACACCACAGTCAGAGTCACACCTTGACACATGCTCGCACGGAACATTACATAGATCATGGGAAGCGAAATCAAGGCCCAAACCAACTTGTAGAACCCAATCATCTTTAGCAACTGAGTTTGGTCGTCGTAACGACTTTTACTCATCTCCGAAAGACCCGGCCAAGCACTGATACCTTCACCACACCAATGGATGCCAAACGCAGTCAAGATCACACCACCGGCCTGAAAGAATCACATGAAATCATGTGTACAACAAACAGCACGTGAACACCCCAACAACAAACAAATAGTGTGTGTACACACTAGAACAGTGTGTGTACACACACTGTGTACACATTGCGTGTACACAGAATGCATGCACAGCCTACAGACATAATGCACGCACAGTTCACTTGAGTAGATCATCATAAAACAATGAATTGGTACTTACGGCGTTTCCGCGGAGAATATCGACCAACCCGGCTATCACTTGGCCCAGGCCTCCGAACATCAAGAAGGCGTAGTACAGACCACGGTTGTCGGCGGCGTACCAGCCACAGTCCACGGTTCCCGCCACAAAAGTCACTGTTGCGAACCCCCAGAAGCCGAGCGCCCCAAGATCCGCTATCGCCATTGTCAAGAACCTTCAGCAAATATAAGCCGATTGTGGTTTTCCAGACCAAGTAGCACACAGTTCACCAACACGACTACGCGTCTAGCCAATCGTTTACCAATAATTACTTGCTTGAGTAAAGGTTCCTAGACAACACATTGGACCTGAACAATGTAGTGTAATGGGGAAAAGTGTTTTGTAGTCGCGTTTTTGTGTAATATTCTAAGTCGCTGCCGCGAATTATTGTCTCGATTGATTCATGGCGGTGGAAGATGAAGTGTCGGTGGTGAAGGGGGCGTCTGGTGAGGAGGTGTCGGTGGTGAAGGGGGCGTCTGGTGAGGAGGTGAACCCAGCGAAGGCGAGTGGCGAGCGGGCTTCTATTGTACACGTCGGGCGTGGTAGCGTGATGACTCGTGGACAACGGGGGTCCGCGACGACGGGTGTGATGAGCAAGCGGCAAGTGGGTGGGGTTGAACGTATCTTATGGAGGCTAGCATTGGATGAGAGTGCGATTGACCAATACGCTGACGATATGAGTTTGAAAGTGGTCGCCCGTTTCCGTCAGGAGGATAAGGAGAGGTTGTTTGATGAACAATGTCGTCGATCATACGCCTACCGATCACCCATAATCGGTACCTTTCTGTTCTGTTACATTCTGTTAACCGGCCCTACCTGTCATCACTTGCTGTCGGATGGGATTGTGGGTCTTACGAGTACATTGACAGTGATTCGTCAAGGCTATGTCGACTCTTGGCAGATCGGATGGATCGTGGCATTGTGTCTCGCATTTATTCTCATAGTCAGCTACCGGTTCCCTTTCGGTCGTCGCGTACCCGAGCTTACCAACTACCTCATGCTCGCTCCATGGCCTTGTTTCCAGATCTTTTGGGCCTTCTACATGGGCATGGACGGCATGCTCAACACCGCCGATCTAATCGGGCACGTGACTGGTTGGACTGCCGTACAGGCCAAACTCTGGAGCGATACTCTCCAGAACAATGTGTGTTTCGTCATCATCACATTCATCGACGCCTGGATGATCAGTCGATCAAAATATAGCTTTAGCACACACTTGTTCTACGGCGCACTCTTCGGTCTAGGAAAGATACAGGCAATCTTCACATTCAAAGACTTCACAGGCAAACACATTCCCGCCGTCATCTGGGTCGGTATTTGCCAAGCCATCCTCGCTTGCGGTCTAATTGCGCAAGCTTACATCGGTCGACTGAGAAATGAAATTCGAGAACGCATCGCTTTCATTTCCGTTGAGAAGGACAGAGAGAGTCTAAAGGAATTACGTAATAGTCAGAAAAAGAAACGGAAAGGACAAGGTGCTACTATTATTGAGAGTCTGCTGTTTAGTGTTAAGAAAGTCCAAACGGAAATTTTGGCTTCCGCTTTCCAGAACGACCCTAACGGCGACCCTCAACTGTTGGAGGTCAATGGACACCTGGACGACTGTATGGACATTTTGCTGAGTGCCGATAACCTGTATACAGTCGGAATCGGTGCGGAAGGCGCCGGTGGAGAATTACAGGAAGATGACGAATTCCGTTTCCTCAACATGTATGTCGGAAAACAACAAGGAGGTGCCGAAGGTGAAGTAAGTAACATCGAGGCAGGTGGTGCCGATCTGGTGGTGCCATATGCGCGAGATGCTGAAAGTTATTTTGATAAACTGGTACCAGAATTTCATTCGGCACATCTAGGGGAAGCAGACGACATTGGATATAAAATTGGTGTGGATATGTTACGTTTATACAAGAGCCGTGAGAATGTGTTGTTCGAAGTTGGTATGTTATTGTTGGGACCGAGAATGAAGGCGTTCGAAACCGATCGACGGACATTAGGGAATTATTTATTCAGCCTACAGTCTAGGTATTACAGTAATCCTTATCATAATCGAGGCCATGCCGCTATGGTAGCTCACATGTCCCATGTATTTAGTTACATGCTTCGGTATCACACTAATGACGAACCTATGGCGACTCTGGTCTTAGCAGCACTCGGACACGATTCTGGTCATCCTGGTCGCAACAATCAGTTCGTCGTGCACTCACAGACGTTACTATATCAATATTATCCATCTGCGTGGTTAGAGAATTTCCACTGTTACTTGACCTTTCGACATGCTACCATATCCGCCGAGACGAACATCTTCAAAAATCTGGGCACAGATACTTACAGAAAGATCAGGAAGAATATTATTGACATGATTATGTCTACTGACATGGCTGAGCATTTTGGTTCGATTGGTAGATTCAGGGTTCGACGATCGAATGAGAAGTTTGATCCGAAAACAAATGAAGATGATTTATGGGCAGTTTATAGAATGGTCATTAAGCTAGCAGATCTCTCACATATTATGGTCGATTGGAAGCAACATCTTGAATGGTCTTTACGAGTTACATCTGAATTCTACTTACAAGGTGATCTGGAAAAACAAAGCGGCTATAGCATTTCCCCATTATGTGATCGTACTGCCCATGCCGACTTTGCTAAGTCACAATCCGGCTTCGTACAGTTCGTCGTACTCCCTCTGGCTACCGAGTTAGCTGAAATAGATATGATTGGTCAACTTGCTACTGAGGTTGATACCAAACTTGTATTCAACCGAAACAAATGGGAGATGCTCAAAGAGAAAGGAGAAGTACTCGAAATACCAGAAGATGTACCACAGAAAGTCACACCCAACGGATTCGAAGACGCGTGTATGTGTGTAGCGCTACTCTCCATCAACTCACAAGATTTCAACTATGCTGATCCCATGCAACATCCCTACTTCCAAAAACTCACCAAACTCCTCGAAACCTCTAAAGAGGCCCAACAAGGTGAACCACCCGCCACCACCCAAACCGGTGAATCAAGACCCGTCACTACAGAGAACCAATCCAACTCCTCTAGCTCTTCGGGCTCGTCCAGCTCTTCCGGATCCAGCGACGACAACACATCAGAAAGCTCCAGTGGAGAAGACGAATCAAGCTCCAGCTCCGATGGAAGCAGCTCCAGCGGAAGTGGAACCAGCGGAAGTGGAAGCAGCGAAAGTGGGTAGACGATGCCGACTACAAGACCTTAACAGAACTAAGTGTGATAACCGGAATGACAGAAATGGAATGACAGAAATGGAATGACAGAAATGGAATGACAGAAATGGAATGACAGAGAGGAATGACAGAAATGGAATAATAGATGAAGCACAATTATAACCAAAATAGATAGACAAGCAGTTGAATAGATAGATAGATAGGTAGATATTTTGATAAGTCGAATCGACGGCTTGGTAGAAATAAATGGACGGCCTGGATGCGAAAAGATAAATGGAGATAGAAAAAAAGCTTACGACAAGTGGTAAATAACGGGGGTGGTAGTTAGTGACAGGCCGACTAGTCTTCCTTCCCCCACCTGCTGAAGGCTAGTCGGCCTGTCACTAAGTTGAAAGGCATTCCAACTCCACTCAAGGCATCCCCTCGTCGATCTCCCCTCGTTGATCAACTAAGGGCCCGCCCGCTGACGGGCTCTGTGGCCAGAATAAGGTCAGAACCATGTTGGTCCTCCTCGTCCATGACTCCTGAGCTCCAGTTTCTGATCTGGCCATCGGAGTTATTTCTGGTGAGTCGTTCCCTACGTCTAAAGGTCTCAATAAATTGATGATACCGCTCTTTGAACGGTTCGGTGGTAGATTCGAATTGCAGATAGGCATTCGCAACGACGAATAGGTAAATAGCGGAAGCCAAGATGTGCAGCAGCAGCTGGCCAAAGACGTTGTAGAGCTCCAATGTCAAGATGGAAAAGTACAGAACGAGTGGGTGGCCGAGCACGAGTCTTGCCGAATTCCAACGAGGTAACCGAACAATGTGCAGGAATGTTCTCGGCCAATGCAGGGGACCGATGGCGTCCAGATAGAGTAGGGCAGCGCGGTAGACACCCTCACCCCCTGCTGCTCTTTGTCCTCTCGGCCTTTGCCCGCCAGGTCTCTGTCCCCCTGACCGCTGATCTTCATCTACCTCGTCCGCTCCTGGGTCCGGCCTGTGGGAGCCGTGGAGGGTTTGTCTTAGATTGTCGATATAGAGGTTCAGGGCAGCGCCGAGATTCCACTCGTTGATTTTGGTGCCGTAGTCGGTGGCTTCGAGCAGCTGCAGCAAACGGTCGTCACCGGTGGTCTCTTCCTCTGTGAGCGCGAGGATTTCGGAAAGGACACAGGTTGTTCGGCGACGGTCTCGTTCCGTCCGGGGCTCGATCAGCGCGTAGGAGCGGAAGGCGGAAGCGCAGCTGCTCCGTAACAGGTCAATGAGAGCCGCCCGAAGCAACTGGAAACCTTGACCTAGCTCTGCAATTTCCGGCCAAAGTCCATCCTTGATCTCACGGTACAACGCCCCTGTCTCCTGGCGTACTGTCTGCAACACGTCCACCACGTCCCGCAGAATAACTGTTAAACCCAAAGTTTTGTCCACGTGCGATCCTAACGCCTTCTGCATATCGTTCAGTCGGTCCACAAGCGCCAAGATTGGCGGCACTTCTGAGCCTCGATCCAGCTCCTGCCGACTCCGACTCTCTTCATTCAAGACGTGCGAATCCGCCAACACCCGCGCCAGTAACTTGCTAATCGCCTCATCCAAGGGCGCCTTTGCCGGACTCAACATGACGGTCTTATTTGGCAAAGGGCCACCCGGCAGAGTACCACTCGGCGAAGTACCACTTGGCGAAGCACCGCCCGTAGTACCATCAGTAGTATCACCGGTAGTACCACCAGTAGTACCATCGGTTGTACCATCGGGGCGGGCATTAGCGGGAACGTCTCCGGCGGCGCCAAACATGTCGTCGAACAAGTCGGCGAACACGTTGCCAAAGGACTTGTCGACCTGGTTACCTGGGGGACTACTAGTAACGTGCCGGAGCCGCGCGTCGCCTGCAAAAGTCCGTTCCAGGTCACCTGGCCGGCCGGCCTCTCGCATCCGGTTCCAGGAGAGGATGCCTCGCGTCCAAGGCAGAGGACTGCGGGCTTGGTCAGGTAGCAGTTCGCGTTCCTGGCCCAGGACGAGGGGGCTGAGGCAGTGGTCGGTGGTCATTAGACTTCGCAGGTATAAGAGGTCCGGGGGGTAGTGATAAGGAACGGTTACCATTTTGGGGATCGCAGGGGCCTGCTTGCACTCTTGGCCCTCATCACTGACGGGCGCTTCGTCTTTGTCCCGCGGCTTCGTCTTCATCTTCGTCTCCAGACCCTGCATCAACGTGCTACCATACACCTGAAAACGGCTCAGAGTGCAGACGTCAGATGCTCCCCCGGGGTAGTAGGACAACACTTGGAACTTGATGTGCGACATCCAGCAAGCGCCGCTCTCGAACCGGCTGCACACATCTTTCAAATTGAAGAAATTACGCACCTTCTGAGGATCCAACTCTACGATCGCCAGCAATCGCCAAGACTCGGTCGGGTACTCCGCGGCACCCATGATCGCCACCTTGCGATAATATGAAGAAAACGACTCCGCACTTTCAAAACCGACGTACTCCACCGAAACACGCTCCGGAAGCGCAACTACCACCCAGGTATTCGCACTACACTCGGACATCATGTACGTCTCCCGCGACGGCCGCTAAGAAACAAATAGTCAAACCATATCTCTCCATTCCCTTCTCTCCACGATTCTTTTCCTCTAAGATTCCTTTCCTCCAAGATTCCTTCTCCCAAGACCCAGATTACTTACCTGTATCGCCTTTACACCTTTTAAACCTGGAGAACTCGCCACCACTCTTGCGCCAGCATCCGCAGTTGCAAAGTCGTGCTTATACTTCAACGATAGCGTTGATTTTTTGGAATCTCGTCGGATTAACGGGTATGTCGGCGGCAAATTCAACTCGTCCAATATCGACAGAGGCGGCCTCCCCTGCCAATCGTGCGGAATGGGGCATGTGTCATTAGACAGACCTTTAGTTGACCTGGCATTAACTACAGAGACCAAGCTGCATGCTATAACGGCTTGTAAAAATGCGCCGCCAAACATAAACACACGCGCGTGCTCCTTAAATAATGGAGCTTCTGAAACACGAATACGAGCGCAGACAGCTCGAGCTCCAGAAATACTACACAAAAATGGTGCGGGGAATAGAGAGGCAACATCCTTGTTTCAGTCCGAGCATATACTCTTAGAAAATCGGAAACTTCGACAAAAAGTTCGTTGTCTGGAGCGAGAATTGGCGAATACGCAGGCTGAGCCGACCAAGGAAAGCAACACGAGCCGGCCATGGACTAACCCCCTGGAGGAGATTGTTTGTGGCGATCTCGGGGATAATCAGCCGGTGAGTGAGGGGCTAATTTCCACAAAGTGTCCGAGCCCGAGGACCGAAATTCCGCCAACAGCCCCGACCTCCTGCCTTCGGGCACCGATAGAAGCGCCAGAAGCCATCAAGCGACAACGATCGCCGGCCCAGCGCCAACGGTCGTCCACCCAGCGCCAACGGTCGTCGGCCCAGCGAGGCCCTTCACACCGGCAGACGAAAAACAATTCGGCGGCCGGCTACGATGCGGAATTGCCGACGGGAAAGGCGACTGACCGGTTCTCGGTTTCGTCTGATACGTCCGATGGCGAATGTTACGTTCACTTGGAACCTGCGCGCGGTACTCCGTCTGTACCCAACTCTCCTCAGTCGCGACGCGGACTGGTCATGTCTCGGGTAAGCTTGCGGCCTCGACATCGCGATTGGCACTGGGTAGAGCCGAGCCTGAGAACAAAGCTGCGACGAGCCACCGAGGTAAGTTAATTCCTAAACACTCATCTACGCTTCTGCAGAAAAATGTCTACAATGCCCTCGCGTTTAACCAATACGCCAAAAAATCATTGAACCCGTCAACATCGAAATGACTTGCTATATATATGTGCCACGACACGGCAGTCTCAACTGACTGGTGAACTCACTGGTATAGAATGTAGTCCGCTACGTGTCGCGGCGTAATTAATCGGTTGATACGATTGCTACGGCGAGAAACGAGGTGTGCAGGTGCGCGGGAGACGTGTGCGACAGGGCGCGAAACGTGTGCGGCTTACAAGGAGTCAATGAGAACTATTCGTTTGTCGTCTGTCAAAGACAAATGGACGAACACCTGCTTCATGGTGAGGTCGTCGCCAAGAACAGCTGCCGAGATGGACACCTTCTTGATGAAGTTGGCGCAGGGGTCCTTCGATGGTTCTTCATTCACCTGCATCGGGATGCAGCGTTCGTTCGCAAGGCCCTTCTCTGAGGAAGCAAGTCTGCTCATGAACACGTTGCTGGACTGGGCCGGCCCGTTTGCTTCGTAAGTGTGCACCCTCGAGGCCGGGTGCGCAAAGCCCTGCTGCTGGAGAAGCCGCATGACGGCGCCCACAGAGCTGGTGTAGCTCCAGCTCCCGGTCGGGTCGACCATTGACTTGTTGACGAGCTTGTGGAAAGCGACCGCCGAGAACAAGCCGACGTACGTGCCTTCCCTCAGGACCGGCACAGACGACCAGCCGCGCGAAAGCAGCAACCGCACTGCGTCGGTCACGGCCTCATTTTCGTCCACAGCAATCACCTTGTGGCTCGGGACCCCAAGCTTCAGCTCTTCCACCGCCTTGGCAGACCAACTCCGGTTGGGAAGCGTACTCGTGCCCACGATGTGAGCGACGATCGACGGAATCGTGACGTAGCTGAACACAGTTGCTCTCTGCGTGTTCCATATATATACTCGCGGCACACTACAAACAGAGAATGTCGCGAGCGTGGTGGATATTCACACGGTGCGACAACCGGCCCGGCAGTGTGGTGCATGGCTGCGGGCGGCGCCTGGCTGTGGGGGGCGCCTGGCTGTGGGGGCCCGATGGGAAGTGCACACCTGGTGGCGGTGCACGCCTGGTGGCGGTGCAGACTTGGCGGCGGTGCAGGGGAGGTTCGTACTTGTTTTCAACTAGCATTCGCAGACATTCAATTAGAGGGACGGAGGAGCTAGAGGAGAAGGGGAATTTGATATCGCCATGAAGCCATTCAGAGAGGTTGATGTCCCAGTTACCGCCCCCGCCGTCGTCTGAAGTGTTTGTCGAGGGGTCCTCTTCGAGCGCATTTTGTTTCCGTCTAGCGCTGGCGGCGAGAGACAGATATATGGAGAGGACAGATTTGGAGTCAAAGGTGTTGACAAATGAGCAGGTACTAGAGTCGTATACGCAGGCGAAAGCTCGCCGGTACCGGTGTAGATAGCAAATGACTTCAGAGAGCTTGAGTCGTGAGTCCACGGTTAGTATCTGCGATGGGGAAGAATTGGAGGGGGATTGGGTAGCGCGAAGAGTGAAGAGTGGTGCCTCACTTTACTCATCATGGGCACGAGATTTAGTGTTGGTTGAGACTCGAGGAGTTTCCTGAGATCCTGAGCCAACATTTTGTGTATGTTTATAAATAGCGGTCAAGGGCGCGATTATCTTTGGAGTAAGGTTGGAGTTGGCATTGAGAGAGTGTTTTGTAGTTGGTAATTTGCCGTATGAGACGCAGGTGGAGGATTTGTGGAAGTTGTTTGGGTCGGTAGGTGCGGTGGAGAGCATAGAGTAAGAAGTTTGGTGGGTGTAGTTGTATGTTGCAGGTCGCACCGTGATGCGAAGACGGGTCGATCGACGGGGTGGGTCTTTTGTCATTACCAAGACATGGAGAGCGCGTCGGTGGCGAAGTCGTTGTTGAACGGGATATCTTACGGCGGGCGCACCCTGGCGGTGGAGTGGGCGGGCAACCGGGACGGCGATGGGTTGGGCATGCGGAGTCGGTGGCTGAGGCAGCAGACCGAGATAGCGAGCATGTCGGTAGCCGAGTTGCAGGACATGGTCGCCGCTGTGGAAACGATGCTGAACAAAAACGACACACTCAAGAAGACCATCGTGGTCGAAAAACCTGATGAATGGGAAGCACTCAAGACATGCCAAGCGGCCCTGACCGCCCTGCAAACGGAGGAAGCCGCTAACCCAAGCAATTTGTAGCCCTCCCAGCTTCTAGTCATGTTATGATACGCAGCAACTGCTTCCAGTGCAGCTGCTTCCAATGTGCCGCTACTTTAAATGTGCAGCTACTTTAAATGTCCAGCTGCTTTCAATGTCCAGCCGCCCCCAATGTCCAGCTGGTGTTCTAATGCAGGGCTGTTGTGCGACTATTATCACCACGTGCCTGTGTACTAACTCGTGTACCAACCGCTGTACCAATCCAGCAACGTACATGTGCCTGAGTTCATACGCTTGTTCGGTCAACAAGTACCAAAAAGGCAGCCGTCATTGGCCCTATTAGAACATACACCGGTTATCCGTGGCCGTAGAACTTCGGTCGTAGTGTTACGGCCGTAGAACTTCGGTCGTAGTGTTACGGCCGTCTCTCCTTGCGGCTGTCTCGTCTCACGGCCGTGCTCTCGCCTTGCGGTCAGCAGCATCCCACTTGTCCGTTGCGTTTGAGGCGAATGGACTGTACTTCGAAAGGCATTTCACTTTCATCGTAAATTACGTCGGCGTCGACCGAGTAGCATTCTTGGGTGGAGTCATCGCGTGTAGTCTTGACAATCGGGAGGGCAACGTTCATAGGTCGACCCAGTTGCGTCGTAGAGTGAGTGACAGTTTGGTGGGTGCACGGATCGATGAGATAAGTCGTTTCGGCGATGGGAGTAAGCCTGCTCGTGGTTTCGTGCGGCTTGGCTGTCTCTATGGGTGTCTCCTCCAGTGGAAACGCGGTCGGCACAGGGTCGGCCACCGGTCTGTAAGAGGCTTGCCGCGACTGAGGGCTGTTCAGTCGCGGGCTGTGGGAAGGAGACGCCCAACTGGGTGAAGCAGGCACTGCGGTGGGTGAGTGAAGGGCGCGCTCGGTCAAGTCCTGGCGTTCGCGTCCGCTGACGAGTGTGAACTTGCCCGGGTCGAGCCTGTAGACGGGATTTCCTAAATTGACGAAATAGAGTAAAGGAGAATCTTCATTAGGCGTTCGACTGTACGAGGGTTGCTGCTGCACGCTCGTCTGCTGCACGGTCGTCTGGTGCAGACCATTGTTACTGATCTGCTGCACACCATTCATACTGGGCTGACTCCCTAAGGGGTACTGGGCTTGTTGGCTGCCATACAGGCTGCCGGAAGGGTAATAGCCTATAGGCAGTTCCGGCACTTGCAGTTCTGGCTGTCTTTCCAGGGACTCGGGAGGTGGTCTGGAGGTAGAGACTGCGAATTGGTATTCCTCCGGGCGGCCAATTATAGGTACCCGGACGGTAGGCGATTCGTTGCCGTTCGGGTTCAGCGGGGACGGCTTGACTGCGACGGAAGGAGAAACCGTTAGGTACGACCTGTTGTCAGCGTAGCTCCCGTTGTCTACATAGGTTTTGTCTACATAACTTTTTTGTGTGTAGGTAGTGTGATCTGCGTAGGTGTTGTGGTTCATGGTGTTGCCAGCGTAGGTGGTGTGATCTGCAGTCGCTTCGTTCTTGTTTAAAAGTACCCCCGAACTGGTGGCAGTTGGTACGGTCATGAAGGCTGGCCGGTCTGTAGAAGAGGTACGTCGGACCTCGTAGGGGTCTTCGGTTGCGAAGTGGCGATTGCAGTAGTCGTAGACAGGAGTTAGTCCCAGAGGTGGGATCTGATGGGGGGATGACACGATCTCCTTGGGTAATTCTTCTCGACTGCCGACTGTGCGCAGTTGGCCATTGGGGAGCACGCTGGTCACGAAAGAGGGTACGCGCTTCGACATTAAAAAAATCGCCTGTGACGATGTGGCGGCTAAACGCACTTGTCATGGCTGCGGCCGTCACAATGGTCGCCGGGGCCGCCTCCAAAGCCAGCAGCGGGAGCCGGACGCTGACGGGCAACCGGACGCTGACGGGCAACCGGACGTTAGAGCTGCCGGCAGGCGTGTACCGAACGCCTTTGTATGGCGGTATAAACGACTATGCGTACTACTTTGTGGACGTGTTGGTTGGGAATCCGCCCTCCAGACAGTCGGTGATCCTGGACTCGGGCAGCTCGCTGTTGGGCTTTCCTTGCACGACCTGTGGGCGACGTTGTGGGCGGCATATCGACAGTCCTTTCGACTTAGCGGCTTCGAGTAGTTCGCAAACCTACACGTGTCGCGATCAGCGTTGCGTCTCGACGGAGTCGTGTTCGGAAGCGGGGCAGTGTCGGTACTCCCAGGTGTATTCGGAGGGCTCTTCGATCGAGGGTTTCTTCTTCTCCGACGTTCTGTCGCTCGCCGCGAGTGACCCGGGTCGGCCGAACCCGCGTGTGCGCTACGACTACATTGGCTGCCACAACAAGGAGACGGTGTTATTTACCAGTCAACAGGCCTCAGGCATCCTGGGCGTTTCCTTTCCCCGAGGGGGCAAGCAACCGACCGTCATGGACGGGTTTATGGGCGCTCCAGGCGCACGTCGGAGACAGTTCGCCATCTGCGCGGCGGAAGACGGAGGTGTACTCTTAATAGGCGGCTATGACGCCTCCCTTAACAAAGCCAGCTTCAGCAAAAACGGCAGCTCCACCTTCACCAGCCGCTGGCTCCGTGGTTGGAACAAACTCCCGGCCACCGTGGACCAAGCGAATCGCGACATCGTGTGGGCCAAAATGGTAAACAACAATGCCTATGCTATTAGCGTCTCTGGCATCTCTACCCTTACCCCTGCAGCCGAACCCGGCGCATCCCCGAAGTACAACAAACTCGTCGAAAGAGGCTTCGGTGAAGTACTCGTCGATAGTGGCACCACCTACACCTACCTACCCAACGAGGTCTACCAGAAGGTTGCTAGGTATTTAATTGACGTTTGTAATAACAATAATGTTGCCCGGGATGACCAACGAGCCGGCCAGTGTATGAGGTCCAAACAAGACTTGGTCTGCTTCGACTTCTCCGCTACCAGCCTACCCATCCCCACCCTCCTACAAAGACTGCCCTCGCTCAGCCTAGAGCTCACCGATGGCGCTGTAATTGAATGGAACCCTGAATCCTACTTATTCAGGAAAACAGACACGTAAACTACCATTCACACTTTCAGTCCCCATTCACACTTTCAGTCCCCATTCACACTTTCAGTGCACACACACACTTTCAGTGCGCACACACTTTCAGTGCGCACACACACTTTCAGTGCACACACACTTTCAGTGCGCACACACTTTCAGTGCGCACACACACTTTCAGTGCGCACACACACTTTCAGTGC